ATAGTTATAAGATATTATATACTTTTGATACTGCATTTATATCAGAGGATAAAGAATTAATGTAAAGTTGTTCAAAAATAGCTGCTTATGTGTCTGTAAAGTGATATACAGTAAATAATCTGGGAGCTGTAGAGCACTAATTGAGAAACAAGAGCAAGAGTGTTCCTACGTTTGCTCCCCTTGTGCTCTGCACCTCCCAGTGTGTTTATATATGACAGTACAGAGACATGCAAGTACAGGACTCAGTAAAGACCAGTGTTTTGGTTGGGATTAGGCTATTGCATTAATTCTTACCCCCCTTCCCAGTCGGAATTCTTCAGGGATCTGGCGGTGTTTCTGTGATGGAATTCATCAAGGGTCTGGGGGTATATTTGTGATGGAGTTCTTCAGGGGCCTGGGGAAGTTTTGTAATCGAGTTCTTTGGGGTTCAGGGTTGTTTTTGTGTTTTTCTTGAGGACCTCAATTTCACATGTATTCTTCAGGGGTAAGTCATTTACTGCAGCAAACTCCACATCTTCATGAGTCCAGGAATTTCTTAGGGGGTTCTTAAAAAACTTAGCTCCTCAACAGGGGTGGGGAGTGGGAGTACAAAAAGTAAATTCAATGGCCCATTGTACATTCCTGTGGACATGCATGCAGAGAGATTGGAAGACTCGTCTTTACTGATTCTGGAGGGGAAAGTGGGCCCGCTCAAAGTCTAAGTTTCCACGGTCATGATTTCTATTGTGTTTCTCTCAAGAATTATTAGTGAGTGTGTTAAGTTCATACATAAATATTGCGTGTGTATAAGAAAGGGTGAAAAAAAATTACTAGCACCACAAAAAATATCAATAAAAGGTTGAATATGTACGTGCTGACGTTTCTGACATTCGTCGGAGTAAAAAAAAGGTTACGTTTACCTTATTTTCTGTAAAAAATTAAATAAAATTTGATATATAAATAGCTTAAAGTTAGAACTGTTTACGAATCATTCGAAGTATTCTTTAGAGTTAGAATATCCCTATGATGGCAAAACCCCTTAATTATTTAACGAAAAAAAGAAATAAAAATATGGTGAACACAACTACAGCTGTACCCTTTTTTAAGCTCAAAACAAAATGTATAAGGCTCTCGCGAAAACCTCGTGACTCTATTAAAAACCCCTCAACCGTGTAGCTCAACATTTCTCTAATTTCCTCCTTTCTTTGCTTTCCTTCAGCTTTAATATTCGTAGCACATTCACTTACCAGTTTTACTGTGATGGGAATAAAGAGTTAATAACCTTTGATCGCAGTTTTCAGCAACTTTTCGTCAGAAGGTAAATATCAACAGATCGTGTTCTATTTCTTGTTGTTTTCAAGCATCATACCGCTGACTTTCCTGACCGACGTAATAAACCACAGGCATCCGTATTTAGAGCCTTGTTTACGTACAGCTATCTGTTCATAGCATTCCTGCGGATACAAAGTGAAGAACACCACCCCTCCCCCTTTAGTCATGAAGACCACTCACCCTTTTATAGGTATGAAGGTATCTTCATATCTAAAGGGGAGGGGTGGTATTCTTCAATTCGTATCTGCGTATCCAATCAAACATAAAAAGGAACGCTTATGAAGTGCAGGGTATTCGATAGTTAATCCGCCTACCTGCCTGGCTGATATTCCTACCTGCCTGGCTGATATTCCTACCTGCCTGGTTGATATTCCTACCTGCCTGGTTGATATTCCTACCTGCCTGGTTGATATTCCTACCTGCCTGGCTGATATTCCTACCTGCCTGGCTTATATTACTACCTGCCTTGCTGATATTCCTACCTACTAGAAAGAAAACAATTGGATTTTGATAAGAACAATAATTATACTAGATAATCAACTCGGCACGCAGCATTCGTGGGTATAATGCAGGCAGCTTCGGGCTGTAAATATCTATTAACTACCTTAGCTTGCTGATGTTCCTGCCAGATGTCTTGTTGACCATGAATTCAAATATAAAAGCATAAGTCCTCCCTATTTTTAAAGAATTGGTTCAAAATACTCAATAAATAAAAAAAACATCGTGTAAACATCCAAATTTTATTTATTTTATTATTTTTAAAATCATCAATATAACAGAATATTAAATAGTACTACTAATGGAGGGTTCATAATTTATGCACAGGGGGTGTCTGATGATTTTGTAGGTGGTCATGATTTTTCAGTGGTCGGGTTGTTGTGATAGAATGGGGATATGGCAAATTTCCTCAAAAGTAGATCAAGGTACAAGAGAGCCATTTTGTTTTAAGGACCAACCACTCATAAAACCAGGGTTGGTATTGTGCCATGGTTTGCTTCTTATTGGGGGTGGGGGGAGAATTTCCAAAAAATGGGGGCTTCCAAAAATGTAAGGGAAAACATAATGGTAGCCCCTATGTACATAAATTAAGCATCCTTCCTAATACTAAGGCAATATGCATCAAATTAGCTCACAAGGCACTCTGGGAAACCGAACACTGCAGAAATATAGCAGTGAAATTATAGGGACTATCCGAAAAAAACAAACTTTGTTATTTTCATCTGTTGAAATACTTACATTGTCATAATATGATGAAAGTTGAAAAATTGTCAGATAAAGTTTTAGAGGTGCCGAAAAAGCGTAATTACTTGGTTTACCATCATGCTTTGTGCCAAGGATTCATGCCCGTGCACGTACATTGGCTATTGTTGGATGTCGTCTAGCCAGGCAATAAAGGCCCTGTTACAAATGAAATTTTCAACTGAAACTTGCGTGCAATGACGTTGCGAGACCAGTTTCAAGTGAAGTTTCAAGTGGGTGTTACACGGCGTAATTTCGTCCCGAAACTTTTTCGCGAAACACGTTTCAGTTGCACGAGTAGAAAGCAGTTCTACTTTTCGTGCAACTTTATCGCGACGAAAGTTTCACCAAGGCTAAATTGCACCGTGTAACATCCCCTTGAAATATGTCTCACAACACTGTTGCACACAATAGACCCGTTTCGAATTCCAAATTACCGCTGTGTTTCTTGATTACAGACTCATTTGCACAGGGTTAGCCGCGAGTTTGTGCAGAATATTCACGTGTTCCAGTCAAGGTCCGTCGAGTTTCTAAGTGTTTGTATTGTTGAAGTTGTGCATTCTTTACTTTACCCTTGGTATTTGTGAATATTTAAGCACTGATACGAGGCTAACACTGTGCAAATGAGTCTGTAATCAAGGAACACAGCGGTAATTTGGAATTCGAAACTGGACTATTTTAGGCTAAAAGTTCAATGTGTAACAGGGCATTAATACTCCTACAAGATAATCCTGGATCCACACCAGAATAAGGATAAATCTTCAGATATAAGTGCAAAACGAATTTGTCTTGTACTCAAATAAGAATTACAAGGCATTACAACAAAAACTGATTATATATAATAAAAGCTTCAAATACAAGAGCTGAATGTAAAGAAAACTACAATAGTCCCTTTGCAGCTCATAATCACGTGCTGAGAGCAAATGAATGAACATCTTGATTCCCATGGGTGAAATATACTGCTGAGCAAACAAACTTTCTACATACTGTTTTCAAGAGATCGTAATAAAACTACATTTCGTAGCACACTGGTTGCACATCGTTTCATTCAGTTCTTTACAAGAAGCTAAAAAGAATCAATTTAAAATTTTAAAAACATTTTGCTCACCAGTATAGACACAATAACGTTAACTGCCTATTAGAAAACTATACAATAAAAATCAAATCACAAACTGTAGCTGTATGTATACAATGATTATAAAACATGTTCTGATAACACTCTAGCTAGTCTCAGACATATAACACCATTCAATGTTTCTAAATCAACCTTCAAATCAATGTCATCTGAAGAAGTTTGATTGATGGGATAATTGATAGAATCATCTGGATGATGTAAGACTGTCTATAGAAATGACTTCCCAATACAAGAAAAATACCATGTCTCACTCTGAATAGCTGAAATACTGAAAATTGAATGAGCATTTTTCTTCGTTTTCTTGTTGTTGTCTTTGTTTGTTTGTTGTTTTTTTGTTGTTGTTTTTTTTTGGGTTTTTTTTGTGTGTGTTTTTTTTCTGTTTCTGTCTTGTTTATCCTACTAATTGATACCCCTCCCCTCCCCTCCCCTCCCCTACTAAATCAATTATCAATGGTCCTTTAATACTGTTTCGTTATGCGCGAAAAGCATGAATTTAATAATAGATTCCTTTCTGCACGCACGCACGAGTAGCTTGCCTCGGATTAAGTCGCATTTGTATATAAGTAAGTGACGCTAATTTAAATTCAGTTCGTCGAGTTTCAGAGCAAGCTACCGGGTAAGTCAGATCGCTTAAACTTTATA